TGATTTGTTCATTTCACATAATATTATACGTGTTTCTTTCAATACAACGCGTCCCTGGCAACCTAAATATGTAGCCTGCATAGCAACACGTCGCTTCCTATGTATATGTACGGTACATACAGATTGAATAACTCTCTGAGGGGGACACGTTCGTCTGAGGAGGAGTTAATATATGCACGTGATCAGGTATCACGTGATACACAACAAAGAGTACACTTATTATAACACCGTTCTCAGTCGTACCTGTGTATACGCGCCATTCATCCAGTGGTTGTGTGTTTTCTGACATTCAAAATGCAACAGTGTGGCAAAATCTCCATGGCAATAAACATACTAAGCCATCTCCAAACAAATACCGCAAGGAGAGCAACCTGTCATTAAGAGGGCCTCTCACTGTGTGACCTGGCACTATTATCATACGTCAAAGTTGGATGTGTTTTTCCATTGGCATTGAGACCCCGTATAGGGTATCAGTTTATACCAGCGCCCGATGGAATATAATAATTTCATAGTCTTTCCCACTAATAAATAGAAATTATTATTCATCTGTACGTGGCGTGCACCCGTGAGCATTTCTCGTCCAAGTTCGAATTGCTTGAAGGTTGTAAATGATGGTATCAGTTGTGTGGTTTCCTCGCCGTATGGTGTCTTGTTGTTGTTCCTTGACATGCAAGATGGTTTGTGAGAAGCAATAATATTGGATAAGCTTTAGTGTTTGTTTATGTATGACCCTAACCCCAAAGATTGAGCAACGGGGATTTGTTTTCTTTTACTTTTTTCAAAGATTAATCATTTTATTATTTAACTATCTAGCAGTTTGTTTTTAAAAGGCGTGTTCGAATATCATATAAACAGCTTACATGTATTTTTACGTGCGGTGTATACACGTCGTTAGGATTTCGAACAGAACGCGGCGCGTCGGCTACCGCCCTTAACATTCTAGAATTGTTTTATTTTGTTTTGATTGCCATTGTATTTCTGTTTGTTGGACTTTATCAACTTTGTAGACTTTGAAGTCCAAAATACGGGTTTCCTACAAATAAATCAAATTTTCCGAAATATAAATGTGTTTGATGTCTTCCTCTGTGGCCCCCTATGACAACGCGCTAACTAGTACGTATCACCCTCAAAGAACGCGCTGTTATAGTTACACTAAAAATGCATGCTGGGTATTAGTGTCCGGTCCTACTGAGACCGAAAGTTTCCCAGGACAATTAGTACTAACGATGATAGACCAATTACCACCCCTCCGTAGATCAGACCGGATGTGACCATCAGACGACCAACTACCGTGGCATCATTAATGACATCTACCCCATCTGTGTTTACACAATATGGTAGATGATGACAAACATCTGACGGTAAGGGATCAAGCATTTACAATCATGGGGGTGGCTGGAAAAGCATGACCAGTGCAGTTTTGTTGTGGTGTCTTGTCTGAACATTCTTATTTTTCTTAAACGTGCCAACATGTTTTCCCTGCAACACCTTGTATGTATTGTTTTCTTTTCGTTTCTAGCTTGCAATCTTCCAGCCCCCCCATAATTTCAAATGATTGACCCCTAACATTAAAGCTAGTGTTGACGGTCGGCGTCCAGTCGTCTACATACATGATGTGTGACTGGTCAAGGAATCAAGGAACATCAGACACACATGACACTTGCTGGACACTGTCTTGGCAGCGCCTGGACCTGGTCATTTACAAATATTTTATTAATGTGCATGGGCCCGTCCAGTGGAGCTATTAGCCACGTCTGGCTACTTGGGCGGTATATACATACCCCCGTGAAATGGTTTCGCATTGCACACACTGAAATACAATACGCATGCGCCACAGCTCAAACGACCTTGAAGTTCACAGGGTCAACAAAGCCATACAAATAAGCCACTCTCTTGTGGGGGTGGCGTGCAGTATTATTACTTGATTGATAACTCTAATATTTCTTATTTTTTATAGTAACCTCACCTCATCTCTCATATGACATTTAGTTCGCTGATACCCGGGTTCAAGTGTATTATGCCCGCGGCGTGCAGCTATATAGTTATATGCAACGTGGACAGAAGCACGTATATTACCTTGTCATATCTTCTCTACTTATTATATTATACTATACTCGTTACGTGTTGCCAGTAACGTTATTTATGTTAAATCAAAGAATCACAATATCTTCGCATGTCCGTGCAACGTCGACTGACATGCCAAGGACGAGACGATGGTATATTCTAAGTTGTATTCATGCAAACTAATGCTAGCTAAAAACGTTAAAGTTTGATCGCCGAAAACCTAATAGCGAAAAATTATCATAATATTATGTTTCACAAACTGTTACATAATTATTGATCAGTCAATAACTATTGAAAAAACAAAACAATTGCTATAGGAATTCCTGATTATTTCACAGAAAATAAATAGTATTCATCAGAATTTTATGAACATTCTTGACAACCACAAATACCAAGCTTGTGACAACAACCTTAAAGCGGGGGAGTCGTCACCTGCGTATGCGTCAGGTGGCATTAGCGTGTCATTGTTTACAAACAAGCCTCTACCCATGAGCATTGCGCTTTTACCGTGTGCTGTTATCGTCGCTTGGGACTCAATTCCCGCGCGTGCGCAGGTGACGACACTCCCTATTTAACAGAAGTGTATCACGAATGCATTCATCGCGCAGCCGATCTTCTGACCAATCAGAACCGCACATTCGAGAGGATGACGTCACGGTAAAATATAATATCGGCCTATTTCTGATAGCAATTTTGATGGTCAGTGTATTTCTCCAAATCATTGCCATATGGACGATGATCGAAACTGAGTCTGCATTCAATTTGTTGATGGAACCCATGTTGCGTGACCTTTCAACTTCTCGTGACCTTAGTCAATTACTGATTCCGGAGTTTAATTTCGCCACAAATTAATTTATATTGAAGGCTACTCACGCGCCTGTACACTGTCACCACCACGCAGTGACAGAGACGGCATGGAATCCAGGCACTTTAAGGACGAGAATATTTCATTGAATAAAAGAAGGGCAAAGAGTTAATTGGTAGTGGGACACTTTCTTCATTCAAACTCATACATCCGATCACGTGACACAATTAAAGCATTCTGAATGGTCTGAAATGTACACCAGCTCGTGCAAAAACACAACAATAACACATTAAAATATGTGAAATAACAGCATGAAAATATTGTTTTAAACAAAAAGCGAAATTGACACAACATGGGGATATCATTAGACGTAGAATTTTCTGTGATTCGTGAAAGACGGCTTCACGTGAAGCGTGAAATACACTATTTGGGAATCAGGAACACTTTCATGAAATGGAGGCAGGGGTTGTCCTTGCCTTTTTATATATTGTACCAGACCAATGATAACCCCGGTTAATGTGTCTGTAGAAAAAGTTGATACAGAAGAATGCATGATGCAATGCCCCAAGGCTGTCTTAAGACGGCAACAACTTTATCATTTCTCATTTCATTATTACCCCCCCCCCATTTTAAAGTATAATTCAAATATCTGAATTTATACTATTATATTGCAATATGCTGGCCGTAATGCGTCCACCAGTCTTATTCTGTTTATCTGTATTATTCAAATGCACAACCATGCCAAACAAAGTACAAATAGAAGCAGTCTAGCTGAATCCAATATACTTGAAAACAGTTGTCTTCACTACACTGTGTCAGTTAGTCCAATGTGTTCAATAACAGAGTATAATGAATATTTACTAATATTTTGAGAATAAGGGTAAAGCTCGTAATGGTCTGTATCCATTTAAATCTGTTTTCTAAATATTTCCAGGGAGTAAAGGAAAAGAAACTTTGCCCTTGTTTCTCATTAACTATGCGGAGTTACCCAATGTGCTCGTGAGCAGACACCGTGACTATGACAATTGTTGAACCTTGATTCACCTGAATTGTACATTATTTGGTAAGCAATTTGTCAATATTTTACGGTCGATGCTTACTTTGCCTGTCATTCTATACCCCAGACCATTCGTCCCG